TATTCCTCAGCTTAGGAGCCTTGGTGGCACAGTGTTCAGCAGTTTGAAACCACCAGCTGCTCCAGGGGAGAGAGATGGGGTTTTCTACTCCTATAAAGATTTACAGTCTCTGAAACTCACAGGGGCAGTTCTACCCTGTCCTATGGTGTCGCTAGGAGTCCATATCAACTTGATGGCAGTGCATCAATTTGGTTATTCCTCAGCTTCTTCATATGTAGAGTGATGATAATTATAGTTTCTACCTTATGCAGTTTGTTCAATAAAAAACCCAAACCACAACAAGTTGCTAAATGAAGTTGATTTTGACTCATAACAACCTCATGTGCTACATGGTAGAGCTGCTCCCTCGGGGTCTCATGGCTGCAACCTTTAAGGAAGCAGATGGTCAAGCCTTTGTTGTGCAGCACCACTGGGAGGGGTTGCCTCAGTACCTTTATGTTAGTAGATGGTTGCAAACCACTTGTGCCACTCAGGAGCCTTATTGATAATACAGAAGATAGCACATGAAATATGTTCATATCTAGTTGACAGTAGACAATAAATATGATTTATATTGGCTGTTATTATTAATAATAGTATTTACTAAAAAACTAAATAGTAGCGATGTAGGGCATATAATGGATTCAGAAAATTATTTGAATAGTGGGGCATGTGTTAGATTTCACAATACATCTGATATGATCCTACTATATTTTAAGGCACTCTGAATTCCCTGAGTTGGGTACTCTGAGGGAATTCAACAAATTACAGGACGTGTTAATGATTCTAGAATGTATATTATTTCATTTTATGCCTTCATTAAATCAGTTTTATTGACATATAATTAACATATCATATACTTAAATACTTCAGTCATATTAACAAGAGCTGTATAATCATCACTACACTCAGTTCTAGAACGTTTTCTTCCTTCTTGTATTCCTTATTAGCTCCCCATTTCCCTTAACTTCCTTTCCCTTGCCCCAAGTAACCCATTAATCCAGTTACTGTCTCTACAGATTTCCCTGTCCTGGGCAACACCAACTGCCCCCCCCCCCCCCCCCCCGCAAAAAAAAATGCCCAACAACTACAAAATGTATTTCCTTATCTGGGACATTAGCATCTAGTGTATACAAAGACCAGAATGAATGCTATACTTGGTCTTAGAAAAGTCAAAGGCAACCTATCTCTTTGAATTACTGTTTTTGTCCATCCCAAATAGTATAATCTTTGCTGAAAAGTCTGGCTGAATCAACCTTTAATCCTCAGTATGTGCCTTTCTTCTATTTTCTCGTCTTCCTCTCTTCTTTCTTTCCATCCTTTCTTCTACCTCTCTCCCAACCTTCCATCATTTTTCCTTCCTTCCACTGAATCTAATTTTTTCTTTTTTTGTATGAATCCATGATTACTTACTAGAGAAAAACACGTTGCTTAACAATATTTTCAGTCTTTGGGAATGTACAGCATGGTGGTAGTACCTGCAGTAGCAGCTGTTTAATGCTGGTTGGCTGGGAAGACTTAGACGTTATCTCATGGGCAGTAAGGGTCCGTGGTAGTTTCTTGTGTAAAGGTGGGTAAAACAACAGCGGATCTTTGTGAATATAAATGAGGTACAAGAGATCAAAGATGACATGATGATTTGAGAGACTTTTTTTTAATTGGGAGACTTTGATGACTAATTTTGCACTTATGATGCTAATTATAATGCTGTTGGGCTACTAACCACAAGGTAAGCAGTTCTAAACCACCAGTCCTTCCTAAAGAGAAAGGCGAGGTTTCTACTCCTGGGTGGTTACCGTTTCGGAATCTCCCGTGGCCATTTTCCCCAGTCCGGTAGCGTCATTTGAGTTGGAATCAATAGCACTAAGTTTGCTTTCTGGAAGGTCAAAAGAACCTGAATGACGTCATGAGCAGGGGTGTTGTTGGTACTCGGAATGATCCAGGGAATGTTTACACAGAGCATTGGAGAGACTTGTTGATTAGCTAGGGTGAAGGACAGGTAGGAAGATCTCATTCTGGAAATAAGTGGTAGTGTGAGGATGCTAGACTCACACTAGTAGAAATGAGGAAACTGAGACGAAGAAGGAAATTATGAATTCAGTTTTACGTATTTCAAATACGTGGTATCAGTAAGAAATTCAAGTAAGTAGGATAAGCTTCCAATTGGACGATTGCTTAAAACAATTGTCTCCGTCATTTGTATTCTTATGAATTATTATTAATGTTTAACATTTTCCTCTAGAATATACTTGGCCATTATAAGGATTATATCCAGTGATGTAATTTTGAATTTTTATGTTGTAGTGGACAGATTATCTTTGTTGCATGATGTGCGTGATTTGATGGTTTGTTTTGGTCTAAATTGGTTTTGACTCATAGCACGCTTGTTATTAATAAAGGACAAGACATCATTTTCACATTTGACTCCATGGAGTAGAAAGAGAAAGAGAAGCATTGTACAGGAATGATGTAATTGAATTGGTGTGTGAGCGGAATAATGGTCATTTATGTAGGCTATGTGGAAAGGCCCTTTCATCAGTATTTGGTATGTTTCCTACGTAGAACTATCGAGAAAGGTAGTAAGATGACAAATGTATCTTGTAAAATGGTTATAGATCATGCTTTAAAATTATTATAATGATTTAAGGAGCAACAAGATGCTAAAGACATTTATAGTTCTCCTGCCCTGCTCATCGGTCACACTGCTCCAATTAGAGCGAACGGTTTGGGATGTATATTTCCATACCTGTATGGTTGAGTACGACAGGAGCCCTGATGGCTCACCCACTTGTCATGAGCGCATGATCAATAATTACATAACGCTCTTAGACATTTTCGAATGCTCGGTTTATTCTCTGAAAACACACATCAAACATTCTAAAAATAACTCAAACTACTAAAGATAAAAGTATTGGGGCAAGTATGAGCATAAGGGCATAATAACAGCACTCTTCACACATATCATTCTAGCATCATAGTCCCAACAACCATTGCCTTCAGCGGTGTACTCACCCCAGGCAGAGTTGGAGAGAGGAGGAGTTGATGTCTCCTTGGTTCCTAACTCTCTGAAAAGTCAGTGTCTCTACCAAGTTTAAAACAGCTTGGCTCGCTCTTTGACGTCTTCACTATCCCAGTCAAGTCTTCTCGGGTTTCTCCACACTTTAGGTGGCTTGGCTGGCTTTGGGGCATCGGTCAGGTTCAGCCAAGTCTTATTGGGGTTCCCCACACTTTGGCGGTGGCCCCTGGGACCATCTGGTGATTCTTGGTGATGGTCCAACTTCTTGGCTGGGCCCTATGGTCACACTTTATTTCTTCTCTAAAGTGGAGTTTCTTGTGTTTGTTTCTTTGAGGTGGCTCAACGTCTTGAAAGGTAGTTCAACGACTTGCAAAGAAGTTCTGTGGTGCTCTCATCACCACGGGGCTCCTGAGCACAGATCAGCAGTTCACAACCACAAGCTGCTCCTCTGGAGAAAGATTAATAGGGAAAGATTGAAAAAAAGAGATTAAGGGGAAAATCCCATTAAGAATTAGTCTCGGGAGCCCACAGAAACAGTTCTACCAGGTCCTGTAGGGTCACCCTGAGTTCGAATTGATTTGATGGCAATACATTTTTCATGTTTTATTTCACCCATTTTTACAAATATGCATTTGTATTTCACAAAATAGAATAAGAGAATATATATTATTCATGCAATGAAAGATTTTACTTAAACGCACCACCTACATCCTCCCACATTAAAACCCATGCACCCAACTCGTTCCTGGAACATCCCCCTCTGTTTTAAAAAGCATGACATCTTTCCCCAGGGACTAATCTCTCCTGACAACATGTCCAAAATACACGAGACCAGTTCTCACTATCATCTCTATTAGGGTTTCCCAGATAATGTTCCAATATGGGTGTACCACTTTACCTTTCTAGCATGTTCCATATCCTTGTCAACACTCGATATTATCAGGTTTTTGTTTTGTTTTTTAGCAATTCTGGCAGGTTGAGGCTCTTTGTGTGTCTGTGTGCATGTCTCCTGGTTAAGTTCTTATTTGATGTATTTACAGTTAATTGCAATTTTATTCCCCGTCATGTTTTCCTTTCTTTCTTTTTGTCTCTTCTCACTAGAATGTAAGTTTTATGAGATGCTGTTTGTCCCTCTCTTTTTAAACATTTCCTGACATACAGTAGGTGCTCGCTGATTGTTCAGAATGAATGGTTGGGATGAATAAACAAACAAACAAACAAACAAATAAATAAATAAACAAGTGCCTATTTATCTTCTTTCTGATAGCCAGGAGACTTGGAGACCAGATTTAGAGATGCACCTGGGATCTTCTCCAGGGTCCAAGAATTGACTGTGGCTATTTTAGTGGTTGAACCATTCTAGAAGGCATGTGGCAGGAAAGGATCTAGAATTACACACTCAGTCAGACTTGGAAAGTCTTCACCGAGAAAACATTTCAAATGATCACAGCATAGTAAGATGTGTATGCTCACTATTATAAAGTTGTATGTCAACATTTGGAATTTGTCCAGGTTTGAGAAGACATCCGTTATCACACAAATTAAATTTCTGTGCTTCGTACATTTTTAGAAAAACAACAGTTGGTTTGTGTTTTATGAATACGTACATGTTAAAATGTCATTACTGTGTAATGAGATTACATGCAGTCGGTCCCTTGAGGGCTTACTTGCTGAAGGAGCACAGGGACTCCTTGATTTATTTTGCTTTCCTATCCAGTGCTTCTAAATGGTTTTGAGTAGTTGTACCTGTTAAAAGAAGACCAAGTTACAGTTTTGTTAGTGCCGACTATGAAAATGTGAGTTTTTCATTGCCACAAATAGCAATGTTCATGATAATGTAATACAGCATTGTCTTACACAACAATTTATTTTCATCCTTCTATCGTTTCACATTGGAAGCAGATGTGTAAGTATTAAATATTTTTGACTATTCAATTTTGTGCAATATTTTTTGTCCTGGCCAATTGAATGATGTTAGGTAACGTTTTTATTCTCTCACCTCCAGAGATTGAAATCAAGAAAACCACTGCCCTCTCTCATAACTATAGCAACATGAATGAAGATCTTGATTTCAAGAAGGAAAAGGATTTTCAATCCCATTCACAAAACGTATCGTTGGGAGATGAAAGGAGTGAATTACATTCCAGGAGGAAACGCTTTGTATCCTACCCACGCTATGTGGAAGTTATGGTCACGGCGGATGCTAAGATGGTTCGCTATCATGGGCAGAATTTAGAGCACTACATCCTAACGCTCATGTCAATTGTAAGTAAATGGGACATGGCTTTTCCATTTCTGAAAACATTCCAATGAATTTTTTTTTCAGATTTAATTAAAAAAGTAAATTTCTCAAAATTTAGATATAAGTAAAGTGTATCTATGTTTAAAGCACAAATAATATTTTGTTAAAATTTTGTTTAGATAAATGTAATGTAAGTATCCCCTTCTGTTACTTGGACAGCTTTCTGAAACAATGTAATATCTGTGAAACTAGAGCTTAGATTATTCTTTATTTCATCATGTGAATGACTTCTGCCCCCTAGTGACAGAGAAGAAGATACTTAATAGCATTGATCTTTCACCCTTTGAATTTTATCCATCTCGGTATATCTAGCAAGTCATACAGTATCTCATTGGTAGTAGATAGTCAATAAAGGTGGAGAGGAAATTAAGTAGTCATGGTCTTGATCTTTTGCTTTCAATTTGGACATATTGTGACAAGCACTTTGAGGAGCATATAACGGAACTGGCATTTTATGTAATGTGCATTTTCTTCTGAAAAATCTTTATAAGGAGTCATAATAATAGCTGCTATGATTATTTTTAAGGAGCCACGTGAAGTGCTCAGCTGTGAACAGATGGATGTGTGCTCCAGACATACCAGCTACTCCAAAGGCATGGGCAGTCTGCTTTAATGGAGATTGAAGCCTTGTACCCTTGCTGAGTCAGTTCTCTGTTCTGTAGAATTGCTATGAGTCGGAATTAAAGCTATGGACATGGGGCTGATTGATCTCTGTGCCCCATGGTCCATTCTAAATGCTGTCTGTACACGGTCTTATTTAATCCCCAGATGATCCAGATAGGGAGGTGTTGTTATCAATAAGTGGCAGTTATACAGCTGTTGTGTCCATTGAGTCAGTTCCCAGAGCGACCCTACCCACAACAGAGGACAACACAGCTCAGTCCTGCACCCTGCTCACCCTCCTTCCCAGTCCCGAGCTCCCTGTTGTAACCACTGAGACAACCCAGCTCCTTGACAGCCTTCCTCCCTCCTTACGCCAACCCAGTCGAACCTGTTAAGGCTGGAACCTGGGTAGAAGCCTACAGGAAAATCAAGTATTTCCCACTCCGAGTGAGCGAGAGGGAAGTGGTCAGACTGCACCCCATCAAAGGCAGAAGTCTTGCAGGACTCCCCCAAACAGACAAGCGTGATGAGGTCCAGCTCTCATAGATTTCACTTTTGGTGGAATCGTATATTTTAAAAGAGTCTTTCAAAACGCTGATTATATGTTTCCCAATTCTAGTTAGTAATCGTTTTCGATAAAGCAATAACATTTATTTCCTCTTGAAATTTTACTTATTAGTTTGGTTTTGAATGTTTTTGGTTATATGAGGGGGCTTCGAAAAGTTCATGGAAAAGCAGAGCTGGGGAAAGTTAGAGGGCAGGCCCTGTAGAGATCACCAAGGAGGGAAAGATCAAGAACCTTCTCTAGAGCCAAGAGAGAAAGCATTGCGCTCCTGGGTTGGGGACCGTCTGCCCCACGAGCTGTACAAGATCTTCAAAATCATCAATACCAGCTAACATTACACACCTCATCAAAGAAATGCAGTTCCAGCCGTCACATTAGGGTTGTCTTTCAGGTACCAGGAGCCACACTCAAAGATAACCAGCTTAGCCCAGACTCCGCGACTTTGGGCCTCCACACGTGTGCAGAGCCTTCCAGCCAAAAGAACCAATGGATTAAACTCCCCCAGCCAAACGTCCTGGTTTCCTCTAGCACAAAACCCAAACACTGTTTGTACATCTACTTTATGACTGAAACATTACATGGCCCTTAAAAGAAAGACCCCTTTATGGAAACATGGATCTGGAACATAAGGAGCTTTTCTTAAGAACGCCTTGTTCTCGTTAGGTGTCATTGAGTGGTTCTAGCCCATGGCAACCCTTTGTAAGCAGAACAAAGCACTGCCCGGTCCTGCACCCTCCTCACAATTGTCCCTACGCCCGAGCCCATTGTTGCGGCCACCGTCAATCCATCTCCATTGAGAGATCTTTCTTCTTTTTCACTGCCCGTCCGCCAAGCATGGTATCCTTCTCCAGGCACTAATGTCTCCTGACACATCTGAGTATGTAAGTCAAGTCTTGCCATCCTTGCATCTGTGGTACACTCTAGCCATACGTCTTCCAAGACAGATTTGTTTGTCCTTTCGGAAGTCTCCCGTTTCTTCAATGTTCTACACCAACACCACAATGCAATGCCTCAGTTCTTTAGCCTTCCTTAGTCAATATTCAACTTCCATAGGCATGTGAGAGCATTGAAAGTACCGTGGCTTGGTTAGGCGCACATTAGTCCTCGAAGTAACTTTCTTGCTTTCCAACCCTCAAAAAGTGTTTTTGTGCAGCGGATTTATTTCTGAATCTGCCCTAAACCTTTCTTTGACAGTTCTCTGTCCATAGACTGCTGCAACCATTGTTGGAATATCTTCAGCAGAATTTTACTTGCGCATGATATCAGTGATATTGTTCTATCATTTGAACATTCTGTTGGGTCATCTTTCTTTGGAAGGAGTAAAAATAGAGATCTCTTCCAGCCCACTGGCCAAGTAGCTGTCTTCCACATTTCCTAACATGGATGAGGAAGTGCTTCCAGTGCTACATCAGCTTGCAGGAACATTTCAACTGGTGTTTCATCAATTCCTGGGGCCTTGTTTTTGAGTCTTTGCAACCCCCTCATATATTTTATAGCTATTACCATGCAAGTTATCATTGCCTCGCCAGTATCTAGGGTAGTTTGTTGTTCACCTCATGGTAAAACTAGAGAGGCAGCCCAAAGGAGGGAGGCCCTCCCCGAGATGGTTTAACACAGTGGCTTCAGCAGTGGGCTCAAGCACAGGGAAAGGGTGAGGCTAGCGCAAGGCTGGGCAGTGTTTCCTTCTGTGTGCCTCAGTTCCCTTTGGGTCAGAACCAACGCAGTGCTAGCTAACAACAACCCACCACGAAGTTTCCGCTCTTTTCTCTGTGCAGTACTGGGCATGCATCGTCTCCACAGAAGTGGTCCTATTTTTAGGGGCAAAAGAGCCTTTGTCTATCCATTGGGGTGCATGATTTGCTCAACCTTGGAATTTGACTTTGGAAAACTTGTAAACTCACAGGATCAAAGGGTAGCTCTGGAGGAATAAATACAGTAATATCTGTCTTCTACAGCAGACAGTATGCAAAAGCTGCATGTAAAATGCATATTTATAAATCGAACTATGTGTTTTCATAGCTCCCACTTTAAAGTGGATGCTACTACAATGCTAAGGAATCTACTTGAAATTGCTAGTCACCAGACTGCCCCTCCCTGAACGGAAGTTACATTCATTCCCACTGGGTCTCTCACCACTCTTGCCAAAACGTGCCACCACTAGAGGGAAAGGCATCACTGCAGGTAGAGATGACAGCCCTGTAAGTAGGTGTGGCTCTACAGCTGTGACAGTAGTAAAACTCAGAACTCCAAATTCACTGCCAGAGATCGATTCCCATGCATAGCAACTCTATAGGGCAGAATTAAACTGTACCTTTTGAATTTATGAAACTTTAAAAAAATCTTTACAAAAGTAGTCTCATCTTTAACTCCCAGAGCCATTGGTGGGTTCAAACTTCTGATCTTGTGGTTAACAATTTGTAGTAGGCTCAGTTTGTAGCCCACTGCACCACCAAAATGAAAACCAAATGCAAGGCCATGAGTCAAAGCTTCCTCAGAGTGACCCTATACCTACCCCTGTAGGTTTCCTCTGGGACTGTAACTGTTTACAGGAGTAGAAAGCCCAGTCTTTCTCCCTCAGAGCTACTGCTGATTTTGAACTTTCAACCATGAGGATTGCAGCCCAAAATGTAACCACTACACCACCAAGCCTCATTCAAACAGTAGGAAACGTGCTGGAATTTGAATTTTGATCCATGCTGGTTCAGCATCAAAGATGTTCTTGGTTCTGGTTCTGATGGTGCTGTATTTCGCACAAAAGGCTTTGGCAAAAATCATGGTAGACTTAGTGTTCAAGTAGCATGAGCCAACGGAGTGGTGGCCCTGTTACTGGTTTCTGTAACAAATTGTAAGTGGTATGTGTCCACTGATGTGCATTCACATCGATTGGAGATCTTGTTAAAAAGTGGCTCCTGCTCCACTAGGTTCAGATTGGTCCTGGGGCTCACCTTTGCTAACTGGACCCAGGTGATATAGATGCTACTGATATCTAGACCCATCTTTTGAGTGGTAAGATCTGGGATACTTGCCCTCACACTTGCCTTTACATTGGCATTATTTAAAAATACTTTGGTATTAAAAAAAACATATCGGCACCTGTGTTCTGACTCCAGCGTTTCTCATTTAATTGGTAAGAGGAGTGGACTGAGGCTCAGGATTTTAAAAATTGACCTGCTGATTTCAATGTTTAGTGAAGTGAGAGGGCTGATGCTCTTGGGCTGATCTCAGTTAAGTCTTGAAGAGAAATATTCATTCTAGTTATCTAATCCGACTTATCTTTCCTCTTGCAGGTTGCAGCAATCTACAAGGACTCAAGTATTGGGAATCTTATAAATATAGTCATTGTAAAATTAGTTGTAATCCACAACGAGCAGGTGAGGAACAGGTTGAAATTGAACAATTGTAGTTGTAGTAGTTGGGATTTAGCAGTTTTCTCCCACCTGCTGTCCCATGGGAAACCTGACGAGACTGCCTGCCCCTGTAAAGATTTAGAGTCTGGGAAACCCCAAAGATCAGTTCGATACTGTCCTATACATCGACTCAATAGCAGGGAGTTTGAGTTAAGATTTGAAACTTAGATATTTATAGAGATCATAAAACTCCTATTAAAAAAGGAGGTCCTTGAATATTTTTTCTTTCAAAACTTGATATGAAAAGGAGTGAGATTATCCTTTTGAGAAGTTGGTCAATCCTAAACATGACATTGAGAAGATCTAATGGAAAGTTCAGTTTTGATGATTAGGTTTTAGGTATTTCTAAAATATGAGATGATGCCACGTCACTTTGTCTTATGAGAATGCAACTTGGCATACTGAACTGGTGTTGATAACTGTGGAAGAAAAAGAGGCTGTGGCTATTTTGACATAATATCAAATTACTTTTATCGGTATGTGTTTGTGTGTGTCTGTGTGTAGGAAGGACCAGTGATCAATTTCAATGCAGGTTCCACCTTACGAAACTTTTGTTCGTGGCAACAAACTCTGAACGTTCTCGATGATGCACACCCTTCCCACCATGATACCGCTGTCCTTATCACGAGGTATGGTTTTAGAGATTATCCATCTATCTGCAATTACTTGCCATTTCTCTCTGCATGATCACTGATACTTCTTGCTTCCTTAACAATAATACATAAAATTATTCTATGCCTACTTTTATTATGCATAGGCTGCAAGGCAATGGATTGACCTAGACAAAATGATTTTTACAGTAGTACTAAGATAATGAGAGAATCAGGAATAGTATATAGAAACGAACACAGGTATGGAAATAAGAATAGGTTTTGTTCATTCCCTACATGATCTTTCTAGAGCTTGGAAGGAAGAGCATTTCAATTTCATTAGTTTTGTTTCAGGGTCCCTCTGCTTTTTAAATGACCTATTCCTTGATTTGTTGCACACTGTCTGTCTTACTTTCCAGAATGATTCTTCAACGGTTGTTCTCAACCATAATTATTTATATGAAAACATATTCTGCTATTGTCAACTAAGCATTCATTTTACAAGCACCACTATATATTGTTAATTTAAACACTTGTATCTACAACTCTGATATCAGCCATCAAAATGTGTAGATTCTAGTTGGTTTCCATATTTCTATACTTACTGCTTGACCAAAGTAAATAACTCCTTATTTAGATGTCAGATGCTGAGAAATCTCTGGTTTCTAAAGTCCTGAAATGAAAATCTTTAGCTATGTAACATAGAGAACATGTAGTTCTCCTTTCCAAATGGAACAGACTTTACCTACTGTCATAGACAGTGCTGCAGCATCAGTCTTTGGTTTTAGCTGGTTTTAGTTAGTATCCAAGCAGCAAAGAGAGAGTATAACAGGTTAAAGATGGGAGAGAAAGGGGCTATTAGAGGAAACCAAGGGGAAAGTGAACCATAGAACTGAGTAATCAGAGGAGCAACCAAAGCAGAAACAAAAGAAATATCAAAAATAAAGAACGTGGTAAAGGCTGGGAACGTCATTATATTTAAGAAAGAATAATAGACGTAGTTTACGTAAACACTGATGGAAAAGGTGACTATATTACACAGATTGTGTAATTAATGGCAGGTAATATAAACTTCAGCTATTTTCAATGACTTCTTTATAACTCTTATGGCTTATTGATATGCACAGTGTGGCATTTTTCCGGCTTAACCTTATTGAGAGTTTAGTAAGTAGCTAGTTTGTGATGATAGTCACGTTAAAGCTTATTTATTTTTGTATGACCTATTACAAAAACATTTCCTAAAAATTCCTCAAAACAAACTTTTTATTTTAAGGGAAGACATTTGTGCAGCCAAAGAGAAATGTGACACATTAGGTAAGTTATTTTATAAATTACAGCTAGCTTACATCATGGTGTACTGAATTAAAGGTAACCTTTTATGATTGTTCTCCTGTTGGCTTACATTTTAACCGTTTTGATTGATTGTGTTGGTTTTAGCTGTTGCGGTTACTTAAGTCTGCTTTGAATTTTGAAGAATAGGAAGAACTAATATTAATTTACTGATTACTAGATAGCTGGTGCTGTTCAAAGTTTGATTAAGGTTTTTTATGTGTAATCTTTGATCTATACAAAATGCTATATGCAGCATGTATATTTTACCATAAAGTCATCAAGCAAAACACTAAAATGGACAGCCATGAATTCGCCATCAGACTGGGGATCAAATGGAAGGCGGTGGCTGCTTCAAAGGCAAAAAGACATGGCTTCAAAAGTCTCTTGGAGCAGCTCCACTCTGTCACCTGGGGTGACTCTGAGCAGGAACAAACTCAGACAGCAAAACTTAATGACAACAAATGGATATTTGGGTCTATTTTGTTTTCATCATTTGTGAAAGCTATTGTATATTCTTAGGAATGTATTTGTGCCATTCAGTGTGCTAATGTTCTACTTTACAAGTTATACCACATTATATTCTAAAGTGGTTCTATCAATTTGCATAGTATAAGCATTGTCCCTGATTTTATGCATGCATTTTCATGAGGGAAAGTGGTTCATAATCCTGCAATGCCATTCTCCTGCTATGCATATTTAATTTTGGTATAAAAGTATGACTCACCTTATAGAATGTGTTAGCATGTTTTATCTCTTATTCTGTTCTCTGAAATACATTGTATGATACTGGAATAATATTTATTTTTAGAGTTTGGTAGGTCCCATATGAAAACTATTTGAGTCCCATGAGTCTTTGTGGAAAGAGTTGTTGTCCAATGGTAATAGTGCTATTTTGGGATGTGTGATTTATTCAATTTATTTAAAAGATTAGTCTTTTGTCCTAAATATTAACCATGTCTTTTTGTAGCCCAATTTATTAGGTTAAATTATTTTTATAGTGTTGTCTTATTAACTTTTTAAGCATGACTCCATAATTGTACTCCATTTCATCTCGATTATTTATTTGTGCCTTTTCTTCTTAATAGATCGGCTGTATTTGTCTTTTCACAGAACCAACAGTGAACTTTTGGTATCAATGTTTTTAACCTCCTCTGTTTTTTTTTCTTTTTCTTTTTTTCTGCTAACTTTTTTCCTTTCAACAATCCTAGAAAGTGATTGTCCCTTATCTCAGTAATGTTGTCTTAATATCCTATCCTTTCCTTTGAGATCAGAGTTACATTTGTATTATATATTTCCATTCTCTGCTTCATGTGTTCATATCAGCATGCTTTATTTTTTACTTGCCTATTTGTTACTTGGTGGTTTTTAGTTTTATATTTTACTCACTCTGAAGTTTCTGTTTTTTTTAAAAAAATATTTAACTTATTTTTTTTAAAACTTTGAATGGTAAATTAGGGATGATTCATAGAGAAGCTCATTAGTTTTGCATTCAACGGTCCATAAAGTGCCCTCTCCCCCTCCGGCCCTCCCAACTACTTGACTGTAATCCTCTCCAGGGACTATCTCTTCTCCCACTTCTCTCCTGCTTCCTCTGGTTTCCCGTAGCTCTCATGTCAGCCCCTCTCTCTCTCTTTGGTACTCGTGAGTGTGAGCTGCTAGTTAATGTAGTTCACGGGATCTGAGGTGGGGAGTGAGCCTTCACGTAGCATGGGCTTTTCCCCAGGGAAGGTGCTCAGTCGTTTCCACTAGAAGACAGAGTATTGGTAACTGGACCTCCTGGCTCAATGCAGAACACGCAGCATCAGCCCGTTGATGGTGAAGGTTCCTCAGTAAGCTCAGCGTGTTACCTCAGAATAGCTTTTCTCTTAATTAGACATGACTTGCCAATGAGATCTTGGCTCTACACATGACAGAGACAGAGACAGAGACAGAGGCAGAAGAGAAAGAATTAGTTTGTCATGGACAGCTCTTATAAATCATGCAAATACAGTATTCGTTAACATTTAATTTTATTCAATACTTAGTTTCTGTGTATTGGGAATCCTTTAGAAACTCTAATCATCCATGTTTTATAAACGGGCATTTGCTGATATAAGTTTTGGACCAGACCCCTTCTTCCCTCTAGACAAATATTTTCTGGCAATTTAGATGTATTTTATGAGTCAGGCATTCGATAGAGATAGTGTGAATACATTGTATTTCTTATACCACCTGTTGAATATCTTTGTAAGACTAAAAGTCAAGAAATACAAATTTGGCTGAATCAGACCAAATGTCACACTGTTTATTAAATGATCAGCCATACAAACTCGATGTTTATGTAAAGCAGATGGTGTTCTAGTCCCCATTCATATTTTGTTGTTTTTAACTACACCGGTGCACATCAATGATAGTGACAATGAAAGCGTTCGTACTAGCATTTGTTAAACCAGGAAATATTAATGATAAATAATGATGTTAACATTTATGATGATGCTATTAAACTTTTACATGATTTAACTCATTTAATCATCAAGACAAATTTATGAGTTAAATACAAGTATTTTATAGATAAGAATAAAAGATACAAGCTTGAATTAACTCGTTTTAGCATTTTCCTACCTCATTAACAATATGTGGGAGAGAAACAAATGAAGGTAAGTGTTTGATCACAGATAACAGAATGGTAATAATCTCTAGATTTTCGGCTATCGGTCTGTCTCAGGCCGTGTTGTACTATATTGTGGTTCAGTCCCTAAGTTAAAACACACAAAATGTGTTGAAAAAATGCTTTCCATATTTTAAATGACTTTATGTAACTTGTTAACACTTCCAAACACAGGGGCCTGCGTCAAACTCAGGCCCTTGCTACTTTATTCTCTCACTGGCAACTTTCAGAGAATGCAGAATTAGCTCGGTGAAGCTAGACTGAAACAATGAATGAGTGCTTACTTAGCACTAATTAAGGGGTTGTTACAGTCACAATAGACTCAATGACGCTGAGGTTTTGGGTGGAAATTAGTGTGATAATTGAATATTTGCATACTGCTTCAAAATTAAAAATTTGAAAGGATCACAGAACTTTTTCACTTTCTCACTTTCTTCTCTTGGGTTTTTCCTCTTGCCATTTAAATACTCGTGGCTTCTCCTACCATCCAGGCTAATGTCATCCTTCCTATAATAATCTTTTGCCTTAAATCGTTTGCCCAATAAAAAATGTGTGACTATTTTGTTTTTGAGAAAGAGCACCCGTGAATTTGCTAAAATGGTTGGGCTGCTTCTTTCTCTCTCATCCTATTAAACATGCTTCCGTCGTCAGGACAACACTGCATTCGTTACTTAATCGGAATGACAACGATGAATGGTGGTAAATTTAGTTCTTACTTTATGATTTTGCAGTTACTTTCCAGTTTGATCAGATACCAATGTGGGATTTTTCAGGTTTAGCAGAATTAGGTACCATGTGTGATCCCTCGCGGAGCTGCTCTATCACTGAGGAGAATGGGCTCAGTGCCGCCTTCACTGTGGCTCACGAGCTTGGGCACGTGTAAGTATGTGCGCCCGCAGAAGCGCTGACTCTTCCATTGAATAATTAGCATCTTCATTTGTTTATTTAGTGTCATTTCCGCCCCTGACATGCTAATTCTGGCTTGTTTGTGATGTTGGGTCAGACAGGCTGCACAGATCAACAGACTGAACAAAGAACTAGAACTTGGGAACCCTTTTTATTTCACTTACTGTAATGGATTACAAGGCAGCACCTCTGGTCCCTATGCCTTGTTATCTTTACAGACCCAGGTACTCTCCCCTGCCATCTTATGGGAAGGCCTACAGGGGCTCCTGGCGCTGGGAACTCCCAATTGGTATTTGCCGTTCCAAGACAGTTTTTGTTCTTAGAGCTTAGAGCCTCAGCAGAGGAGGTGGGCCATGGAGTGTCAAGGTCATTAAAATATACATATATATGTTTTTAATGATGATCACCTAATTTTATTTGCATTACAATTCTCCTTAAATAAGAAATGAAAATATACATATATTTTAAGTTTTGCCCCGCCTCCTCCATAGCTTTTTATTAAAGATTTGGGATTCTCTTGCTAAATATTCTGCTGGGCCTCTGGGCTCTGAGGATGGAGGCCATGATTTGTGTGATATCCTTGGCGCTCCCCTTGAAAGTCAGAACAAGCTCGTTCTCTGAAACATCCTTTCACAGGTACCCCCCCAGGAGTCTTGGGGTTCCTTTGTGATCTGCTAATAAGAAATTGAGGCTAGACTTAATACTCAGTTTCCATACATTTTCTTTGCCTGGTCTTGCCTTGAGGCACCATTAGAACCTGTAGGTAGTAATTTGAAGTGGAGGTCATTTTTTGGTAAAGTAATACCTCTTGAAGTCTCTTTTGGTATGGTTGTATGTCATGAACACCAACGAGCTCATGCTCAGTTCTATAAGTTGTTGATTGATGTGGTTGAATATACGGTCAGGTGAGTAGTTGAGGGATTTGAAGCCTCACAACTACGGAATCACCATGATGTGGAATCACTGTTGTTGCTTTCGAAGCCTGCTCACAAGGAGCTCATGGGGGATAGGAGTTACCTTTGGGCTGCTAACTGAAGCATCAACAGTTCAAAAGCACTGGCCATTTCATAAGGCTTTCTACTCCTATAAAGAGTTTCAGTCTTAGGAACCCAAGGGGTAGTCATACTCTGTCCTGTAGAGTCACTAGGTGTTGGAATACACTCAATGGCAGAGAGTAACAAGCCTGCTTACTACTAGAAAACTGCTCGTATACAGAGTGCCTCTTCAACATTTATTGAACTTTTAAAAGTTTACTTCCTGAGAGGCTCCCTTTAGATGTCTTTAGGATATGGGTAAGTTGTTTAATGGAAAGACTGCCTACTACAGTAGGCAAGGATCAGAATCAAGTGGTGGCAAAGGTACCTTCTAAACTTGAACTTATACTTGAATACTCAAAAGTGTGTGTGGAGTCTGCCGCGGACCATCTCATTATTTAACAACAGAACTATTCTATGAAGATTGGACTGCCATGGAAGAGTGTTCCTAGCCTTCCCATGCAGCCAGTTATGACTCACTGCTGATAGAACCAGGCTGTACTTAGACTATTTTTATTTAAAAATAAATTGGCAGTCCAGAAAGATAATGATTAAGAATACAGAAGCTCTTTGAAACTGTAGCAATAGACAATCCTGTAGAATTTGTTAGGGTATCACCTTCACCTAATCTGTATCCGCACAGAAGAATATGCCTATTGAAACTTGCATTATTTTTACGGGAGAGTTTTTTTTCCACATTGTGATGAGGTGAGCCAAGATTCAAATGGTTTGTGCTGCATGTTCAAAGTTCGAATCTAGTATTGCTTGGAAGTCATGTGTCCCTAAATGTATTGCAATTTTAATGATTTAAGAAGAGACAAAGAGTACAAATTCCGATATGACTGAATTTGTCTATACTTTCATTATAATGAGTTATAAATATAATCTGTTGTTAATTTTCTGTACTCTGAAATCATATTCTCCTATCCTTTTTCTGAAGTGTTGATTTTTATTTTTAGGTTCAGTGCTCCCCATGATGATAGTTTTAAATGTAAAGAAGCTGGAATTATCGATCAGTATCATGTAATGGCCCCAAGTTTAACTTACCACTCGAGTCCTTGGACCTGGTCAAAATGCAGTGAGAAATATATCACTGGGTTCCTAGAGTAAGTCTGACTAGGTTAATTTTTTTTGGTCAAGTTTTATTTTAAAAAATTAAAATTTGTGTGCTCTTTTAATGTGTTTCAGTTTGTGTTTTGTTTTTCATTTTTTAAAATTTAAGCCTAATTTCACTGTTCAAATGAATCCTTAAAAACAAAGGGGGAGTTGTATAGACATATTACCCTGTTTCCCCGAAAGTAAGACAGTGTCATATTAATTTTTGCTTCCAAAGATGTGCTAGGTCTTATATTCAGGGGATGTCTTACTTTTCCATGAAGAAGAATATGGTACACATTTATTGTTTTATTAAAAGAGACCTCACACTTCCTGTCTGCT